GACGGGGGGCGCGACCGAGACGGGGGGCGCGACGGAGACAGGAGGTGCGGCCGGGCGCGCCGCGGCGGCGGCGGCGGCCTGCGCGGCGGCGGCCTGGGCCGCCTGCTGCTGCTGTTGCTGCTGCAGCAGGGCGGCCTGCTGCTGCAGCAGGGCCTGCTGCTGCTGCTGCAGGGCAGCGGCCTGGCCCTGGATCATGTAGGGCTGGCCGTTGATCATGGTCACGTAGCCGCCCTGCTGCGCCGCCTGCATCTGGGCCAGCAGCTGCTGCTGTGCCAGCAGCTGCTGCGCCTGCAGGCCCTGCATGCCGCCGGGCGCGCCGCCCATGCGCTGCTGCATCATCGCCGCGACCTGCTGCGGGTTGACGCCGGCGGGGTACCCGCCGGCCTGCAGCGCCGCGGGGCGCGGCGCGCCGCCGCCGCCGCCGCCACCGCCGCCGCCCTCGGCAGGGTTCTTCCTTGGGCGCCCGCGCCGCTTGGGCGCGGGCTCGTCATCGTCAGGCTCATCGGCCACGGCGTCCTCGTCATCATCCGCGCGCTGCAGGCTGGAGATGATCGTGGCCATGCGGTTGCCGGCGTTGCGGCGGCGGGAGCGCTCGGAGACGGCGGAGGGGTAGGCCGAGTGGTCGTAGCCCTCGTCATCCTCCAGGTCATCGTAGCGGTCGGCCTTGCGGCGGGCCATGGCGGCACGCTGCTGCGCACATGCGGCGCATGGGGAGACGCCGCGACCGCGGGGGCGGTTGGGTGTGTTGAGAGAGCAGGCATAGTGAGGGCTTCGGGCGGGCAGGGGACGGGCAGGTTGTGTCGCTTCATCCCCAAATGCTGCGCCGCCGGGTTGGCGCCCGCCTGGCAAGGAGGGGCGCCGCCCGGCCGCCATGCCCCTGCTGGCTGGGGAGGGCGACGTCGAGCGGCGGGAGCCCATGGCGCGGGCCTCGGGACGAGCACAATGTCCCCCAGAAACGCGTCAGCGTGGCCTCTCGAGGTTCCTCCGACGCGGGAAAGGGCCAAAGATGGCCCCCCTGAAAAATGATCTGCTGTTTGTGCGCGCCACGGTCCGGTTGCCCGGGCCGCTGGCTCCCCTGCCGCACGCAACCCAGGACCATCCAGCTCACCGTTCTTCTACCGCAGACTGTCCTGCTGCCCTGTTGGGAGGGGCGCAACACTGCTTGCTTGCTGCTCAACAACGCGGGGAGGCAGGCTGTACGGGACTTGTGGTCTGCTGAATGGTAGAGAGTTTCAGTGTCTCACAATGTTCAACGTGCGGGTGTGTGCACAACGAGACTCAAGGGGCATGGGTTCCCAGGTTGCAGGTGACCTGCCCTTGCTGCTTGGCCCCACCCTCTGCCTGCAACAACACCCCGATTGCACCATCAATGATCTGTTGAGCTGCACCTGAGATTCTCTGTGCCGCCTGTGGGGCCTCTGAAGCAGCGGCAGATCACTTTTTGCGTGCGTACGGTGCTGCTGCGCAATGCACCCAGCACAATCAAAAGACGTCGATGTCAAACCCTGCTTGGGCCAGCCGGAGGGCCCTGCATGAGCCAGGCGGGCGAGCCGCACGGTGGGGCTCGTTGACCAGCCGGCGCTCCGCAAAGACTCTCTGCGGGCCTGTGCAAACCAATCGCCTGCACAAGAGGTGGTTGCCTTAGCATGATCTAGTTGTGTTGAAACTCGCTGTGGGGCCAATCGGGGCCGGAACCAAGGGGCTTCCGTCACATCTGAGCGCTGGGTGGAGCTTGCGCCTCGCAGGCTCCGTGCTCGATGCTGGGTGGGCGCTTTGCTGTGCCTCCGACTGAAAAGGCCCCAGATACGTTAAATGCTAAAGGTTCTCACGGCACACCTCTCAACATGTGCGCCTCTCAGACCAGCAAGTTGAAGGGGCCTTGATGACACTGCGTGTGCTGTAGTTGCACATACGGTATGTATGCATAGATCACAGGCCAGGACGGTGGGATCAACCTGCGAATTGTAAACGCTGCGAGAGATGAGCTAACAACTGTGGCCAGGCAGGCGTTGACAGGCGACAACTTACTTCGGATGGCCCTTGCATACAAGACATGTACCACTTCCGTTTCGAGCCCAAGTTTCAAATCACTGGATATGGCACCAAGACGAGGCTACGTATGGGTTTGCCCTCTCAGAGCTGGCAGCTGCGGGGCTCCAGCAGCTGCTGCCGTGCGGGCGAGCGGTAGCTTGCTGATGCGTGGAAAGGTGGAACACTGCAACAACGGCCGCCTGCATAGCAACAAACTAGGGTGTGCCAGTAACAATCAAGTGCGTCCAGAGCCTCGGCGGTGTCGGCCCACTGTCATGAGTCAACGAGCTCTGCTGGTTCGGATGGTCTCAGACCACCCATGCAGCTGACAGCCGGCTGCTGCCTCCTGTTGGCACAGCAGGCAGGGCCGCGGGGGTACGGGCTCGTGCAGCGCACACACGTCTCTGCAGTGCTGTCAGACAGCCCGCTCACGTTGCTGCGGCCTGAATGCTTCTTCCGCTCCGCACAGTGAGGAACAGGTGGCGGGGATGGCCGGGACAACGCGCAGATGGTGCAGTGCCCAGCCAAGGGAACAGTTCGAGGCAAACGCCTGCCTGTCCTGACGGTTGGCCAGATTACTTGTCAGCCGACAAGTTATCTGGCGCGGCACCCCCTGTGCTTATGAGCATGCAGGTTGGGACCCTGAACTGCATGAGCAGTGTTGGCTGGAGCGTGGGCGCGCCTTGCTATCTTGCCGGCCCCGCCCAGGCTGTCCTGCCGGCGGACTAGATCAGAGCAGCCCGAAGTATCATGGAAAAGTATGCTGTGCATCAGCCTTGCCGACGGCCGGGATGCTGGGCTGAGCATGCTGGTGCATGCGTGGCAACGGCGCAGTTCCTGCAGGACGAGTGCAGCAGCGTCGTCAGGGGGCGGGGGCGGCTTCGCGAGACGAGGAAAGCGGCCGACGCCAGGAAAATGTTCAGGGTCTGGTTGGGCGTTGAGCTGGACGTTGTGGTATTGGCTGGAGGGGGCTTCGCTGCTCGCTGTACGGCAGTCAATGGTCGGCATGTGACTGGTGGTGTCACCCACCGTGAAGGCATCATGTCACCGCATGTAGTCGCAGGGTTTCGATCCTACAAACCCGAACCACCGCGCCTCAATCGCCAGAGCAGCGCCCTCATAATATCTCTGAAAGCATATCGAACGCACCACCCGCGTTCCACCACACGAAGGTGGGAACCAAAAACGTGGGTGACCGTGGGTACCTCGGCAACTGTTCTTGATGACCGTTCTGCATCAAAGTTGCATGGATATGTAGCTTCGGCAGGACGCAGACGTGGGTTAGCCATCTCATCACCGGAACACCGGTGGAGTAAGCATGCCACACGCCACCCACCCTTGAACGCAGATGTCAAGCCTCACCGCCAGCCTGCGGGACCTGCAGGCCAAGGTGATTGGCATACCAAGCCCCGCTCTGTAGATGACCCAGCACTCACGCATCGTCTCGTTGCTGACCGCCTGCCAGCCCAGCACTTTGGTCCTACTTCCACCAGCTCAGTGGCCCCTCTTGTGCTTCCAGCGCACACGCGTTGGAGCACGCGACCTGAGCCCCACCACTGCCGTCTCACGTCCACTCCCAGGCCGCCGGCCTGGCTCAGGGCGTGTCACAGGGCGTGTCCGATGCGGCGACGCAGGGTCTGGCTGCTGCCCAGGACAGCGCCAACGAGGTTACTGCCAAGGTGTGTTGCGTCGCTTCGCGGCAGCCAGGTCGTGACCGAGCCCGGCACCACTGCAATGCCTGGCAATTGGGTGGGGGACGAGTAGGCACCCTTTCTGCTGCATGCTGTGGCGTCTAGGATGCGTCTAGAACGCCAGGGTCACACCCACAGCCGCATGTCGTCAAGGCCAGCGCGACGACGTCGCATTCGCGACGCGCACCACCGCCAAACTCGCAGCCAAGCTGGCTCCCATGACACCATCACAGCGGGTTTCCTGCCCTCGCGCTCCCGCTCTATCCCAGACAAACCAATCTGTCCACTCTCAACGCGTGCGTGTGCTGCACTACTCCTTGCGTATGCGCAGGTGACTGAGGCTGTGCAGGGCGCAGTGGATGGCGTCTCAGACAGCCTGGGTGCCGCCCTGGACAGCGCTGTCGCTGAGGGGGGGCCTGCCGTCGACCAGGCGCGTCACCCTTGAGCGGTCACCAGCGCTGTGATCGCCGCCCCACCTTGCACCCCTTTGAGTTGCAGCGTGTTTAGTTGAAAACCTGCTATGTATCACTGGGTGCCGAGGTTGGTGCTGCCAATCAGCAGAGGTGGTCCGCAACACGGCAGGCGGGTACGGCACAGTCCGGCGGCTACATTATCTATTCGCTCCGGCCAACACGAGCCAAGCACGCACACGGCACTGCTGCACCTCTGGAATAAGCAAGTTTCTCGATCTTCACACAGGGTGAGGGGGAGGCTGAGGGCGCCGCCGAGGACGCCCAGGACGCCGCCACAGACGCCCTGGACGCGGCACAGGAGGCCGGCGAAGAGGGCATCAGCGCCCTGCAGGCCGCAGCCGAGGACGCCGCCGCCGAGGTGGGCTTGGATCCCCGTGCCGTGGCACAGCCTGCTGCCACCAATGTCTTGCCGCCATGCAACTGTGTCCCGCTAGTTGCCCCACCACGCCTCCATGCACGCGCGTTGGAGTGGCGAGCCCGGCTTCAAGTCGCCACCAGGACCACACCAACCGCGAAGCTTTCGATTTTAGTTCAGCTGCTCGCGCTTCAGCACATGGTCACAGAAGAGGGCGGGGGCCCTGATGCCCGGACTGCATTTGGTGAGCGGTCACACTGACAGTCCGCTTGGCCCACCCCATCCCTCGTCTCCAATCCGCACCAAAGGGTGAGGGCGAGGCCGAGGCTGCGGCCGAGCCCGAGGCTGAGGGTGAGCCC